CTCCGTGTCACCGCGGGGCACAGAACATCCATCCCTGCTCTGCTCCTGCATCCCCCGGACCCTCACACCGGGCTGGGCCCTGCCAGGCTGTTCCCTCAATATCTGCATGTGAGAACCCGCTTGTCCGAGGAGGATAAACCCAGCCAGGCAATCATCCATGGGGCTGAGAGAGCCCAGAGCTGCCAGCCAGGGCTGCAGCCAAACAAGGGGATTTTCCACACCAGGATATTCCCCTGCTCCAGCGCCAGCCCAGGGCTGCCAGGCCAGCGGGCAGGACTCCCTGACTCCTCTGAACGTTCATGGTTTGGCCCCAGCTTCGAGCACTGCATGGATCCAAACTGGAGCCGGCCCAAGCTGCGGCCCCAGTGCCCAGTCAGCAATCTCTGCCTTCACTGGGGATGCAGAGGACAAAAGTTCTTCTAACACCAAGTTTCCATTGTCCTGAGGGGGCCCATGGCCTCAGGGAAGGGCTGTCCTGTCCCCACCACCCCTCACTGCCGCTCTCATGGGCTGGCCTGCCCTGAGCCGTGTCCCCACCGTGGTTTTGGGAGGGAGAAGGGATCTGCAGGACGGGCTCTGCAGGGCACCGCGGTGCTGAGTCAGCCCCCAGCGGGTCCCTGGAGTGCTCAGCCCCTCCCTGTCCCCCTCCCCTCACAGCAGCCCTGCAGCGGCAGCAGGAATGCATCCCAGGGACCCTGGGGCTGCCTCATCCTCACAGCGCACCGCCCTGGATCTTCAGAGCTCCTCGGTGCCAGGAATTAATCACAGCCTGTGCCGCAGCTGCCTCCAGCCCCCTTTATATAATCTCAGCTCTTGCTTTGCTTCTCCTTTGCAGGAGCCACTTGTTAACCTCGGATCATCCACGGGTGATGGTCCCAGCCCCCGGCAGAGCCTGGCTGGTGCTGGTGGCACTGCTGGCACCATTGGCAAGGCACCAAAACAGCCAAAGGAGACCCCTCCTTTGAGGGGCAATGAGCAGTGGGGCTGGGCCTGAGAGGGGCCCTGCTCTAGGGAAGGTGCCCCTGTCCATGGCAGGGGGGGTCTTTAAGGTCCCTTCCCTTTAAGGTCCTTTCCAGCCCAAAGCATTCCGTGTGTGGTTCCAAGGGATCCCTCCCCTGACCCTGCAGGGCCCTGTCCCCCTCCCACCCAGCACTGCAGCCCCTGCCCCTCACCATGCAGGGGTCCCATGGCGCCATCACAGCCACTCCCAGCATCCCCAGTATCCCCAGTATGCCCAGTGCTGCCCACCACCCCTGGCTGCTCCTACCAGAACGCCCCTGGGCTGGTCCCTGGAGGGTCCTGGCTGGTCCCTGCTCCGTGTCCCTGCCAGGTCAGGGGACAGTGTCTCCCTGTGCTGGCCTCGGTGCTCCTTGTGCTCACTCCACCGTGCCCAGCTCTCCGTTCCCACCACTCGTGGGTTTTCAAAGCTAAAAAAAAAAAAAAAAGGAAAAAAAGAAAAAAAAAAAAGAAGTCTGTTTCCTGAGAGACCATTAGCACGGTGGAAGACAGAGATAATAATAGCCTGGGTTTGTATGGGAGTTCTCCTCTGGCAGGGATGGTGAGTACAGGGGCGGCTATGCTGCTGCTGCTGCAGCCACCTCTGGGGAGGGTGGGCAGCAGGACAGACCCTGCTGGGTGTCCTGGTGCACCAGCAGCACCCCAGGGGCAGGTGCAGCCCTGGGGGAGGCTCTGCTGCTGCCTCAGGCTCCAGAGAGCCAGCACTGAGTGTGGGGGTGCCCCAGCACTGAGTGTGGGGGTGCCCAGGCTGCGGCCCTGCAGGATCAGGGGGATCTTTGTGCTCTCTGCAGGATAAATCTGACATGAAGGTCCTTGCAGGGGTTGTCATGGGGGCAGCTGGGTGGGCTCATGGGGTCACTGGGCAGTGGGGTGATGGTGGTGCCAGCAAAGAGCTCTCAGGGGTGGGTGATCCCAGCCCTTCCAGGACATCCCTGAGAAGGACTGGGGCTGAGGGAGATGTCTGCTGAGTGGGACACACAGCCCAGGACAGTCACACCTGTGCAGGGCAGGGACACAAGACCCCCAATGACAGTGTCCCCCCTGGCTGTGTGAGGACACACCAAAGCCATGACCATCAGTGAGCCTCTCCCTGCATTCCAGCCCCAAAATTCCACTCCTTGCTCCTAGCTTTGGCTCAAATTCAGGGCCTGACATGACCTGACAGAGACAAGCTGTGGCCCAGCTTGGGCTGGAGTCCTGGAGTGTGTCCCCCTGGAACATTCCCTGACATGGCCAGGGCAGCAGAGGTGGCCTGGCACAGCCTGGCAGGGTGGCAGCTCCGGGTGGGCACCGCCTGCCTGGTGTTTGCTCTGCTTGTAGGATCAGGGAGTTAATTGAAATATCAACTTCATTAACTTCCCTCGGTCCTCTGTGGTTAATTAGGGTGGCAGTGGCACCACAGCAGCGCTTTCCTCACGCAGCCAAAGGAGCTGGAAATCCCTCTCTAATTATCTGCACAAAGCACAGTGACAGAGCCGGCTGTCCCTGCATTATCCCGGGATCAGGAGCACTGGGGTGGCTCTGAGGGAATTCTGCAAGCTCAGATGTAACTGTGGCCAGCGGGCTGGGCAGGGTGGGATCCCAGCTCCATCCCCTGCCCCCAGCTCCACATCACATCGCTGCTTCTCAGGGGTTTTACTGGTGGATACCGGGGTGGGTTTTGTGCTGCTTTGGAATGCCTGAGACCCTGCCAGCCCCAGGAGCCACTCCCAAAGCCTCTCCAGCACCCTGTGCATCCCAGGGCTGGAGATGAGCCCTGCCTGTCTCTGGGCTCTGCCTCACTCCCGTGTCTCAGCCAATTTCCCAATTTCCACTGGTCTTCCTGAGCTGCGTCGCCCCTGCAGCTCACAGGGGTTCTGAGCCATGGGGCAGGATCCAGCCACTCCCCACATCCATCCCGTTCCCTCCGGCACAGCCTCGCCGCAGGAATTGCAGGGAGCAGCAGTTCCCCGATGGATGATGCTGCCGGGAGCTCCTGGCAGCTGCAGCTCCTTCCAGCGCCTGCAGATCCACAGCGCTGGGGCCCTATTTGGAGTCTATTTGGAGCTTTCCCTGACATCCCGCTCCTCTGATCTCGGTGGATCTTACGGGAGGCGCTTTCAAAGCAGCGCATCCCCCTCCTCCATCCCTCCGTGCGGTGCCGGTGATGCTGCGCGTCCCCGCTCCCGTTCCCCGCCGTGCGGAGCCCCATCCTCCCCCTCCCCGGGCTCCTGCCCCGAGCCATCAATCCCGGGGCTGCGGCGGGAGCTCAGCCGGCCCGGGATGAACGAAGCCTGACCTAATTCCGACAGGGTAGCGGCCCCACGCCGGGGTCTCGCAACGCCCGGCTGCATTTGGGAGCGGGGATACATCCCCGCAGGGAACCAGAGCCGCGTTTTGGCCAAAAAGCACCAAGATTTCTTCCTCTTGCACCAAGGAAGGCGCCGCTTCCAGCAGAGCCCAAGCCCGGGGACTCACCCCGGTGAGAGGTTTGGATGAAGTCCCCGAGCAGGGATTTGCGCTGCTGATCTCTGCAAGGAGAAGGAAGCCGCAGCAGCTCAGCCCCTTTGGAACCTGCCCAGGTTCACCTTCAGAGCCCTCACCTTGCCACACGCCGGGCTGTCACCTCCTCCTCCTGCGGGGATCCCCGCGCCCACCACGGGCCCGGTCAGAGCCCGCATCCCCCGGTCGGACCCCGCATCCCCCGGGGGCCACGTTCTGCGCTCCCGGGACGGGGTGGTCCCTGCTGTGCCCGCTCCCATCCCGGGACAGGGCGGTCCCTGCTGTGCCCGCACCATCCCCAGAGCCCAGGAGCGCCTGAGGGACCCCCGGTCCGCACCGCCCCCAACCCTGCGGGGGAAACCGGGGCTGCCCGGCCCCGCCGCCCGCCCCGGGCCCCGCAGCGCCGGTACCTGCGGCAGGCGGGGGCCCGGGGAGCCGGGAAGGGCCGGTCGGTGCCGGTGCAGGAGAAGGACGAGCAATGCCGGGGAATCGGAGTGGTCCCAGTGCCGGGGGAGGATAACGGGGTGTAGTCCCGGTGGCGGGGACACCGGACCTTGTGCCGGGGAAGAAGAGCCGGTACCGGTGTCAGTGGCGGTGCCGGTGTCAGTGAGGCCGGTCGGTCCTGGTGCCGGGATCCAAGCACTGATGCCGGTGCTGGGATAGCAGGGCCGGAGCGCTGCCGGTACCGGTGCCGGTACCGCCGTTGAAGAGCCGGTACCGGCGGCTCCGTCGCGGTCGCGCTGCCCGTTACAGACGCCCAGAGCCGGGCTGGCGCCCGCCCCGCTGCCACCGGCGGTGCCGGACGGAGCATCCGCAGCCCCGAGCGGGCTCCGCGCTCCGCCCCGCGCCCCCCCGCGCCCCCGCCGGGGCTGCCCTCGCTCCGCCGCCGCCACCGGGAGCCCGCGCGGGGGCTGGGCCGGGCCGGGGCTCCCGGGGATCAACGGGGGATTCGGAGCGGGGTCCCCCCGGTACCGGGACCGCCCCGGGACCGCCGGGCCCGCAGCGCCCTCTGCGGGCGGCGGGGCGGGGCCGCAGGGGCGGGACCGGGGAGGGACCGGGGAGGGACCGGTGGATGGGAGGGACACGGGGATGGCACTGAGAGGGGCGGGACAGGGGGTGGCACGAGGAGGGGAGGGACACGGGGGTGGTTCGGGGGGGGGGCGCGGCGGGGGCGTGGCCGGGCCGGCGAAACGGAACGGAACGGAACAGAACGGAACGGAACGGAACGGGCAGCGGGCGCAGCCATGTCCTTCTGCTCCTTCCTGGGGGGAGAGGTGTTCAAGAACCACTTCCAGCCTGGTGAGGGGGCTCCTCGCGGGCTCCGGGGGTGCGGCCGGGGGGTCCCAGCGGGGAGGGCAGGGGGGGTCACCCCGCAAGGCGGAACCCCCCGGGTGAGCGGTTTGAGGAGGGTTTGGGGGGTTTCCTTCTGCGGAGCATCCGGGCGGGGGTCCCCCCTCTGCGGTCCTGGTTGGGGTGGGGGAATCCTCCTCGATGGGGGAGGGGGGTCCCGATAGGGGCTCGGGGGTTCCGTCCCTGGTGGGGATCCTGTCCTGGGGGAACCTCAATGGGGAGTGGGGATCCTGCCCCTCCACACCCTGCCTGGCCCTGGGGATGCCCTGGGGGTGTCCTGGGGGTTCCCTGGGGTGTCCTGGGGGTGTCCTGGGGGTTCCCTGGGGTCCGGCAGCCTCAGCCCGGACATGAGCGCTGTGTGTCCCGTGTCCCCGCTCTGGCCTGACCCCGCGCTGTCCCTGCCGTGCCCTCCCGCAGGTATTTACGTGTGTGCCAAGTGTGGCCATGAGCTGTTCTCCAGCCGTGCCAAGTACGAGCACTCGTCGCCGTGGCCGGCGTTCACCGAGACCCTGCGGGAGGACAGCGTGGCCAAGCGCGAGGAGCGCCCGGGGGCGTTGAAGGTGCGGACCCCGAACCCTCGGGTGTGACCAAAACACCCCCGGGCTGGCTCTCGGTGAGCCCCGGACTGCTGCCAACCCCTCCTTTGCTCCCCAGGTGACCTGCGGCAAGTGTGGCAACGGGCTGGGCCACGAGTTCCTCAACGATGGCCCCAAGAGGGGCCAGTCCCGCTTCTGAATATTCAGCAGCTCGCTGAAGTTCGTCCCCAAAGGTACCAGCGCGGCTTTGGCCCCTGCCCTGCCCAGGGAGTTGTTTCTGGCACGCTGAGAGTGCTGCACTGCTTGCAGCAGGGTGGCTCTGGCTGTGCTGATAAGGGCAGGGAGCTGCTTCTGGGATAAATCCGGTTCATTGTGCTCAGCTTGAGGCTCCTCAGCTCAGCTGGAGCTCCTGGTTGTCACCAGCACTCAGCGACTCTGTGGCTTTGAGGGTGGCTGAGTTTTGGGGGTTTCTCTGAGGGTGCAAAAGGGCAGGGACCCTCTGTGGTGGCACTGAGGGGCTGGGAGGTTTGCTGGGCATTCCCTGGGGAAGTTTTCAAAGGAAAAACTGTTGAGGAAAGGCCTCAGGAAGCCAAATTCCAGTTAGCAGCATAGCCATGGGCTGTTGTCCTGCTGGTCAGGCTGTGACGGTGGTGATATCGTGTAACAAAACCCCCAGATAAAAAGGGGCTGCTGGTTCTGGAGGGAGAAACACGAGCCCTCATTGCTCCTCCCCTGTTTTTAGGTAAAGCTGACCTGAAGGAGAAGTAAGTGAGCTGCTGCACCTGCCACTGCCCTGGGCTAATCCTGCCTCCACTCCTGGGATGCACTGACCTGCCAAAGGGACCCACAGCAGGAGCAACCCCAAGGAAGCTCCTGGTCCGAATTTTCCCCTGATTGTTTGGTCACGGTTTCCTCTTGATTTCCCTGTCAAGGTTTTATTCTTTGATTTCCCTGACAGTTTTCCCTGTTGCAGTTCCCCTCGATTTCTCTGTCACGGTTCTTTCCTCATTTCCCTGTCCTGGCTCTCTCCTGGTTTCCCTCTCACAGTCCCCCCTGGTTTCCCTGGCTCAGTTCCCCCTGGGGCTGTTCCAGCTCCACCCAGGAGCTCTGTGCCCGTGCTGAGCCCTGGATCTTTGCTGTGACAGTGTCCAGAGGCAGGCAGGCTGTGCTGGCACTCCCAGGCACTCAGGCAGGATTAGCTGGGCTCAGGCTCGGGGTTAATCCCTGGAGCTATTCTGGGATCATGCTATGAAGTGCCCCATATAAACCCTGCCAGGGTGCTGGGGCAGGGATGTTTGATGGTCCCACTGGCAGCATCCAGGGGTTTCCCCCCTGCCCACCCTGCAGGGACGGTTCCACAGCGCTGTCCTCGGCCCTGGCCTGGCCTTACCCCTGACTCAGCACTGTGCAATCCATCCCAGGGGCACTCAGGGTCCTGCTGGCCCTGCCCTGTGGGAGGGAGCTGGAATTGGGCCCAGGGGCTGCCCTTGGCACTGCTCAGGCTCTGGGCGTTGTGGCTGTGCTGTCTCGGTGCTCCCAAGGGCTGCCACACTCATTCTCCTCAATCCAGTGCCTCATTCCTGCCTGTCCCAGGAGCCAGATCCTCCTCTGGAATGGATCCACCAGGATTTCAATGAGGCAAGGGGCTGCTGCTGACCCCTGGGGTTTAGGGGGCTGCACCCACACTTGGGGACACCTTGGGGCCTTTTCTCTCCTCGTGTTTTCCCTCAGTCCCACAGATCTGAGGGCACCAGGGGAGGTTTGCCACCCCAGCTCATTCCCTGGAGCTCACTGCTGGACCTGTCCATGCTGAAATAAAGCACTGATTCACTGTGTTGGAGTGTTGAACACGCTGGGCATGGCATCCCAGAGCCCTGGGTTCCTCCTCTGCTCCTGGCTGAGGGCTGGGGGGCCTGGGGGAGTGGGAGATTTGTGCTTTTACCTGGAATCTGTTCCCATCTCCCCAGGTTTGCCATTGCAGAGGGGGTTGGGGCATTCCCAGAGCCAAAGCTGCACTGGGAAGGTTTCATTTTCACTCCTCTTAGCACTTTTCCCCAGATGAAGCCAGTTTGAGCTTGTTCCAAGGGTGTTCTTGGTACTTCCTGGGCTGTCAGGGTTTTCTGGGCACAGGGAGCTGAGTTTCTCACCAGAACTTCCCTGCACAAACTCTGCAGGTCTGGAAGCCACAACCCTCGGTGTCACAGGGGATCTTCACCCCTTGGAGCTGGGTCCTGGATCGCTGGAGGTTTGAGCTGGGCTTTGCTGGGCTCCAGTTCCATGCTCCAAGGGGTGAAGTCCCCTCCGGAGCTCAGGAGCCAGTGCCTGCCCCCATTGCCCTCAGCTCGGGGCAGCCTCCAGCTCTAATTATTCACCAGCTTCCAGTCTGAAGGTCCAAAGTGCCTTTTCACTGATTAATCCTTGGGGTTTAGGGCATTAAGGGGGAATTCTTCACTGGCAGGGTGGGCAGGCCCTGGCACAGGTGCCCAGAGCAACTGTGGCTGCCCCTGGATCCCTGGCAGTGCCCAGGCCAGGCTGGGCAGGGCTGGGAGCACCTGGGACAGTGAAGGTGTCCCTGCCATGGCAGGGGTGGCACTGGGTGGGATTTAAGGTCCCTTCCACCCCAAACCCTACCAGGATTCTCCAGGTCAGGTAGCATCCATGGGGGCCCTGGAAGGTGGCAGGAAGGGATTTTTGGGTGCTGCAATGGGAGGAAACCTTGGGAATGCCAGGCATGAGGGGATGGCAGAGCTCCCTCCTCATCGTGGGCAGCTGTGCCAGGGATCCAGCTGGGATTGTTCCATCCCATCCCTTTCCTGAAGCCCGTGCCAGGGGGATTTAGCCAGGATTGCTCCATCCCTGCCCTGCCCGCAGCAGATCCAGCCCAGATTCCAAATTGCTGCCTTGCAGTTTGTGGATGCGGGCACGGGAGGGTGCCAGTGCCTTTCCCAACCCTTGCAGCAGGGAAGGGAAGGAGGAGGATGCTCCTGTGGGATCCCTGCATCCAGCCCTGCAGCCACAAGGAAATATCCCCGGAGCCAACACCCCCTCGGGGATGGTTTAAATACGAGTGGGGTGTTTTCATGGAAATCTGGCTGGAGATGGGATTTTAGCAGGAATGTTGAAGTCCTGAGGGTGGAGAGCTCCAGGCTGTGCCTGGTGCTGAGGATTTAGGATGCAATCCTACAGGAGGGATCCCATCCATCCCATTATCCCATCCCATCCCATCCCATCCATTATCCCATTCCACCCCATCCCATCCCATTATCCCATCTCCCCGAGCACCCTCAGCCCTGGGCACACACTGTGACCCCTCCCGGACCCCGGGGCACTCAGAATTCCTCTTTTCCCCCCTCACTCCCGGCCCAGCCATTCCCTGTGCCGTTCCCCCTGGTTTAATTATCCCACTAATGACAATTCCGCCTTAACCAGAGGATTTTCCCTGCTCGGGCGCAGCCGCCCCGGCCCGGCTTTAACGACACAAATTGAATTACGTCTCCAGGCCGACGCAAACTTCCCTGATTGTTTCAGAAATCGCTCATTTCCTCGCCCGTAGCCTCCAGCTGACCTCCCTTTGGAGTTGGGCCGGATTTTCCCGCATGCCCCGCACGGGACCTGCCCCTGACCCTCCCGGGACGGCTCCAGCCGCCGGCACAGCATCCAGAGCCCAGAGACTCAGATTAATTCTCTAATAAGACAACAAGCCCCACAGAAATGATGTTATCCGAGGGAAAGGCAATGACCTGGAGGCGCTCGGAAGCTCCAATTACCGCTGCTCCTCGGAGCCGGTGCCTGCCTGCTCCTGCTGCGCCCCTGGAATGCTCAGTCCTGATTCCAGAGGCTGCTCAGCATCACAGGCATGGCTGCTTCCATATCTGTGTGATTTTATTTCATTTTCTTTATTAATTCATTTTATCTTTATTTTACTATTTATTTTATTTATTTTATTTTTATTTATTTATTTTATCTTTATTATTTATTACATATTATATACATTTATAATATATATTATATATATTTATATAATATATTATATACCATATATTATATATAACATATAACATATAATACATAATATATTATAATATATAGTATATATGTTTATTATATATATTATAATATATAATATATATTTGTTATATATTTATTATTTTAGGTTTTTCATTTATTTATTAGTTATTTTATTTTTCTTTTTATTATTTTATATTTATTATTTATTAAATATTATATACACTTATTTTATATAATATATATTTATGTAATATATAATATATATTTGTTATATATTTATTTTTGTTTTAGTTATTTTATTTATTTATTAGTTATTTTAATATTTTAATTTATTTAATTTTATTTCATTTATTATTTTACATTTCTACTTATTTATTTAATTTTATTTATCCTCTGACCCACGGTTTTTCCTGCTCCAAAAGGCCAGGACCCCCAAGCAGCCCTTTCAGGGGGTTACACATCCTTGTGGACAGGAGCACAGCCCGATTTGGGATGCTCTGGCACCCTCATCCCAGCAAACATTGCCTTTATGCCAAGCTGTGCCACCTCCCATCCCTTGGTGGCCTTTGCCTCCATGCCAGGCTGTGCCAGATCCCATCCCTTGGTGGCCTTTGGCACCAGTTTGCTTCAAAGGGATTTATTTGTGTTCTTTTTGGGCCTGTGAAAATGCAGGTGTGGTGTTAATGGCAGGAAATAAAGGGATGGAAATTAAAAAATTATCCCACCCCATGATGATTCCTGTGGCTGGCAGGAGGAGAGGAGCCTCCATCGCCTCACCTGTCCCAGCACCTGCAGCTGCAGAGAACCCAGGATTTATTTATTCCAGTTCATCCAGCAATAACAGCTTCACCCTGTCCCAAACCCCCTCCGCTATCCCTGCCCGATCCCTTCCCCAGGTCTGGTTAAACCTCCCAGAGCCACAAGGTGGGGAAATTTATTTGTTTGGGGTTTGTGATGTGTGTTAATTAGGGAGATAACGACTGGAGACACCCACAGCGAGTCTGAGCATGCCGCAAAAATGTTTAGCCCGAGGAAAATTTTAATCCTTTTTTTTTTCCCCCTTCCCTGGCTGTTGAGATGTGACTTTTTAAGGCAATTAGTGAGGGTTTAGCTGTTAATCAGTCATACTTAGACGCTTGCTTTGGGGTCTTATCTCCTGCTCCCAAGTGAGCATCGCCTGGAATCGCCAGCTCCATTTTTGATGTGGGAAAATCAAAAATGCCTGTGCCAGGTGGGAAATGCCTGTCCCGGGTGGGAAACGCCTGTCCCGGGTGGGAAATGCCTGTCCCGGGTGGGAAATGCCTGTCCCAGGCGTGTTCCTGTGCTCAGCACCACCTGCACAGGGCAGCACAGGGAGATTTCCATGGGATCAGAGGAAAACTTTTCTGTGGAAGAGATTTTAAAGCCCTGGAGCTGGCTGGGGAGTCAGCAGCCCTGGAGGAGTTTGAGTTTGCTGTGACCACGGTGGTGCTGCTGGTTGGACTCGATGAGTTTAAAGTTCCTTTCCAACCTTACCAATTCCATGATTCCATGCCTGGAGAGCCGTGCCCACCACAGCACCCCACGGCCCTGGAGGGGCTCACCAGGGAGGACTGGGGATAGTCTCAGCTTAGCTGAAGAAAGAACAGAGATAACTTTTCTCAGGCCTTAAAGGAAAGAATTAAATCAATTATTATCTGTCTTTTTGTGATTGTTGTTTATAGATATGATTTTTTAGAGTGCGTTATTCATAATTCACTAACAGCGTGAGAAGTTTTTACTTTGAGGCTAATCGAGTCTCAGTTTAGTGAGGAGCATTATAAAGAGACATGTTACTCTCTATTAAATGGGTTTTATTCACTTTTCTTTCCATCCCTGACTCAGCAGTGCCAGAGACTGTCCCAGGCTGTGCCAGCATCACTCCAGCCCTGTGCCAGCTTCAGCCTGGCCTGGGAGTGCTGGGTCAGGCTTGTGCCAGCACCAGTCCAGCCCTGCCAGCACCAATCCAGGCTTGAGAGCACCAGTCCAGCCCTGCCAATATGAATCCAGCCCTGCAAGACCCAGATCAGCTTTGCCAGCACCAGGTCAGCCATCCCAGCACTGCTCCAGTCCCCACATCAGCACCATCCCAGCCCTGTGAACATCCTGTGAGCCCCATCTCATTCCTGTGAGCACCATCCCAGCCCTGTGAGCATCATCCCAGCCCTCCCAGCACCATCCCAGCCCTTCCAGCACCATCCCAGCCCTTCACCAGCCCCATCCCAGCCCTGAGAGCACCATCCCAGCACCATCCCAGCCTCACATCAGATCCATCCCAGCCCCATGAGCACCATCCCAGGCCTGCCATCATCATCCCATCCCTGTAAGCACCATCCCAGCCCTGTGAGCATCATCCCAACCCTCCCAGCACCATCCCAGCCCCACATCACCTCCATCCCATCCCCATGAGCCCCATCCCAGCTCCATGAGCACCATCCCAGACCTTCACCAGCACCATCCCAGCCCCACATCAGCCCCATCCCATCCCCATCAGCCCCATCCCATCCCCATCAGCCCCATCCCAGCTCCATGAGCCCCATCCCATCCCCATGAGCACCATCCCATCCCCGTGGCCGCTCCCGTGGCCACCCCGCTGTGCCCGCACCCCAAACCCCTTTGGGGAGGCCGATGCCCTCCGGGGCTCTGTCCCCACGTGCTGCTCGTTCAGACGATCCCCTGCACTGTCTGCAGCGGTGATTTGTTGCTTGTAAAGCCGCCGTGATTAAGTACAGTTTAGCCTGCCGGTTTTCATGTCTTATCATGTTTCATCTCGCACAAAAGACATTTACAGTCTATTTTCGACTTCAAAGCGAGCGCTCCTCGCGTGACCATGGGGGCAGGCGGGTCTTTGAGCACAACCTGCACGGCATTAGCGTCTCTTGATGTTCCCTGCCGAGTGAGGATGGATGGCTGCCCCAAAAGGCAGCTTTTTCCTATTGTTTTATGCACCCGTGATTAATATTTCATGTTCCCACTGCTGCAGATTTGCTGGCTGGCACTGGCCTGCCCTGACAGCGCTTTCTGCATGTCTTACATGTCCAGCTTTGTGCTCTTGGACACGGGGAGTGCGGCTCTTGGCAGGGTCCTCGGGGCTTATTGAAGCCTCCTGCCCGAAGTTTTTGGATTAAATTTGTCTTGATGGCATCAGGGAGGGTTGGGGGGCTCTCCTTGCCCACCCTCACCTCTGTCCAGTCCCTCATGGAGCCCCCTTGGCTGGGCCAGATTTTGGGGGTGCTGTNACAAGTCCCCACTGGTGCCACTGTGGCCCTGCAGGACCTTCACTGACCCCAACCCAGCTCTGCTCCCCCTGCCCATCCCAGGCCATGGATCCCCTTCCCCAGCTCTTGGAAAAGCCGGGGATTAATTAAACAGAGTTAATTACATTAATTGGTTAATTAAGACACCAGCCTGGGACCCTGCCCTGCTGCAGGAGTGGGACCCTTCCCAAAAGCAGCCCCGGGAATGGGGAGAGGGAGGAGGGAATACGGGCAAGGAGAAAAATGGACGGGAAAATGTGGTGAAGTTTGGAGAAATGATGTGGGAAATCGTGGGAAATGTGTGAGAACACAGGGAAGTGTGGGAAGCGCGTGAAAACGTGGGGAAGCGTGGTAAAAATATGGGAAAATGTGGGGAAATGTGGGGAAATGTGGGGAAATGTGGGGAATGGGGAAAAATAGGGGGAAATATGGGAAAATAGGGGGAAAATTGGGGAAAAGTGAAAACACGGAGTAACACAGGGAAATGTGGGGTAACATGGAAAAACAAGTGGGACTGTGGGGGAAAAAAGGAAAATACAGGGAAAATATGTGAGAATACAGGGAAATGTGGGAAGTGTGTGAAAACATGGGGAAGCATGGTAAAAATGTGGGAAATGTGTGGAAATGTGGGAAAATGTATGGAAAGGTGGGGAAAATGGAGTAACATGGAGAAATGTGGGGTAACATGGAAAAACAAGCAGAAATATGGGGAAAAAAGGAAAATACAGGGAAAGCATATGACAACACAGGGAAATATGGAGAAGCGTGGTAAAAATGTGGGAAAATGTGTGGAAATGTGGAAAAATAGGAGAAAAGGTGGGTAAAACTTAAAAAATGGAGTAACACAGGGAAACATGGGGTAACATGGAAAACCAAGAAGAAACATGGAGGAAAAAAGGAAAATACAGGGAAAACATATGACAACACAGGGAAATATGGGGAAACGTGGTAAAAATGTGGGAAAATGTGGGAAAAAATGAAAACATGGANTGGAAAGGGGCAGGGTTTGTGTGGAAGAGCTGCGAGCACCTGAGCTCAGCCCTGGCCAGGCTGTGAGTGCCTCCCCGGGCTGCTCCCAGCATCAGACACAGGAGTCCCTTCATCTGCGCTCTTTGCATCCCTTGGTCTTCTCTGCTATTGTTCTTTATGCAAGAAGCTTCAGAAATTTGCTTTTTCCTACGCCCTTTGTACCACGGCAGAGGTTTCTTAAGTAAAAAGGTTAAAATTCAACACAGGCTAAACTTTAAATGCTTCATTCACATTGCTGATTCACGTGAACTCCAAAAAATCTCGATTTCACTGGGGCAATGACTCGGCTGGCTCCGGGGTCCTGCTCCCCGGGGCAGCTCCAGTGACCGCAAACCATAAATGAGTCTGTAAAATTAGCGGCTAATTAGCAGAGACTGCGGGGCACCGCGGGCCGGCTGCGCTGCCCCTGCTCCGGAGCCGCCACCTCGGAATGGCAAAACTGGGGCAAAATTGGGGTAAAACAAGGAGATTGTTGATATGAGGAGATGGAAACACCGCCCAGCAGAGCTCTGGCAAGGCCACATCTCCCTCCCGGAGGGCTGGAGCAGGGTCTGGTGTCGCCTGGCACCAAATTATTGTCCCCTGATGGGCTGGCACAGAACGGGGAGAGGATGAACCGGCAAATAACCAGCCAAAAAATCCCCATGGAACAACAAATAACCCCTGGACACGGGTTCTGCTGGTGCCTGTGCAGGGCTGGGGTTTTCCCTTTTTTCCCTTCCCGCCGCTCCGAGCCGGGCAGAGCCGAGCACTGCAAAGCATTTGCTGCAGAATCTGAGGAATTCGGAGCGAAACCCCCAAAGAAATTAAGGACAGATGGGTTAGAGGAGGGGGGGAAAAAAAGAAACTCAAATTCCTCCTGCTGCTCGGTGCCTGCCTCCGGGGCACTGCCTGGTCCCTGCTGGGCTGTGCTGAGGGATGGATGGATGGACGGATGGAGGGACAAATGTATGGATGGGCATCTTTCATGCCAGGCAAACGCCATGAGCACAACTTTGCCCAGGGGATAACGCTCCTGCAGCACCCAGGGCCATCCCCAGCTGGTCCCGGTGGTCTCCTCTGGGGATCCCCGGTTCCCATCCCGCCCTGGAGCCGCTCCTCCAGCCGAGCAAAGCCAGGCACACGTGAGGAAAATGAAATTTTCCTCATCCAACCAACGGAGCCCCATCCCCAGCCCGTGTTTATGGCCCTAATCACCGGGATTAGGGGTTTTCTGCTCGGGCTGGCGCTGGCAGAGTCACCCAACACCTGCGTGCTGACTTCAGCACCTCAAATATTTCTGATGCAATTCCTTTTATTCCCCTCCTGAAGCGAACGCGATGTGTTAATGGGTAAGAGACGAAGCATAATTGCGCCTTTGTGCGGGATCACTCGGGGGAAATTGCAAAACTGGAGCTGCAAACAGGTTTGGGGTGGGACCCGCCTGGGCTTGGGGTGCTCGGGAGAGGGAACCTCCCGTGGGGTTTGTGGGGTGGGAAATTGTCGGGATCTCAGTGAACCCGAGAAAAGTTGGAAAGTCTCTTTTCCCAGCCCGGCGCTTGGAGAAGGAGTCAGGGCTCTTCATTTCTCGGTCTCAAGGTTGTTTATTTTATCTTATCTATAAAAAGTTTTCTCCTGCCCTGCCGAGGTCCGTCCAGCAGGACAGTTCCAGGCACTCTGCCTGCCCCCAGGGCAGCGTTATGTCTTTATACTAAAAACTACCTGTACAATATTTACAATAACTTCCCAATTCCTATCACCTATGTTAGACAGTGAGCTTCTACTCTAAACCAATCTCTAAGTGCCACCATCACAGCAGAAGGTGGAGAACAAGAAGAATGAGAAAGGCTGGACACACACAGTTCCCTCCATCTGGCCTCCTGAACCACCATACCAAAAACCCTAAAATCGACTTTTCCACTCTGTGATAACTTCACTAATTTTCTACCTAAACTGTTGTGGCCTGCAGATCTTCATACAAGGTTGGTAATTTTCTCCAGGGGTAATAATCAAACCCACAGGGGCACCTTGGGCTCTGTGCCAGGGTCCCTGAGCCCCCTGGCAGGGTCTGGGCTGCCAGGACAGCCAGAGGGATGTGCTGGGTCCCCACAGGGATTATTGGGCATCTCCTCCTCCCCGAGGGGCAGAGCTGGGGCCAGGGCTCCTTCCCAGCCGGGTTTGGTGCATTCCCGTGTGCCAGGCTGGGGAAAGCAGCTCCAGATGAAGGCAGCGCGGGCCGGGGCTGTTTGAGGCTCCAGATGCGAACAATGCGGCCACAATGCGGCCGGCGGGTCTTGATTTCATCTGTGGGGTAATTGGGCTGGAAGTCTGTGATGCTAATGACTCCACATCAAGCGCTCAGATGTGACCCATCCCCGGCCGGGGGCGGCCGCGGTGGCCGTGATGAATGTCCCCCAGATGTTCTGCCCCAGATGTTGTCCCTCCCGGGGAGGCCGGAGCCGCACGTGTGTGTTAATAACGCCGAGATCTGAGGTTGGCAATGACCGCGGGGGCTGAGGGGGGCTGGTCCTGCTCTGAGCTCGGGGCTGCCCGGGGTGGGGACATTCCGGGCTCTGAGAAGCCCCCTGAGACCCCTCCGGGCAGCCCTGGGTGCTCTGGGGAGGCAGAGGATGCTCTGAGGAGCTCCAACAGCCAGGGAAGTCAAATATGGGGGTGACACAAGACACAGGGATGCTCTGGGGAGGCAGAGGATGCTCTGACAGCCATGAGAGTCAAAGATTGGGGTGACAAAAGGGACAGGAATGCTCTGGAGAGGCAGAGGATGCTCTGACAGCCATGAGAGTCAAAGATTGGTGTGACAAGAGGGACAGGGATGCTCTGGAGAGGCAGAGGATGCTCTGAGGAGCTCCAACAGCCATGAGAGTCAAATATGGGGGTGACACAGGACACAGGGATGCTCTGGAGAGGCAGACGATGCTCTGACAGCCATGAGAGCCAAAGATCCCGATGCCAGAGGTGTGTGAGCAATCCCGGGTTGCTGGAGCAGGAGGAATTGAGCCGGGGCACATCCCGGAGCAGATTCCGGTGGTGTGTGAGCAATCCTGGATTGCTGGAACAGGAGGAATTGAGCCNCCCCCACGGGATGGGGACAGCAGGGACAGCACCAGGGAATGGATCCTGCGCTCTCGGGATTTGGTTGATAATTGCTGGCCCCAGATGTGCAGGGTGTCTCTGCTTCAGCCCACACGGCTGAAGAACGAGTCTGGACTCTTCACTTCTCCATCTTGAGGTTGTTTATTAATTCTTATCCATAAAATTTTCTCTCTGCCCAGCCCAGGTCTGCTCAGCAGGGCAGCCACAGGCACTCTGTGTTGTCCTTTTATACCACAAACTGCATATGACATATTTACACTTAATTCCCAGTACCTATCACCTGTGTTAGACAGTGCACTTCTACTCTAAACCAACCCCAAAGTGCCAACATCACTGCAGAAAATGGAGAACAAGAAGAAGAAGAAGAGATGCCCAGTTTCTTCCATTTTGACCCCATTACCCCCATATCAAAAATCCTAAAATCTCCATTTTCACCCTGTGATTATTCTGTTATTACACCATTCAAACCTGTGTGACTTTCAGGTCCTCATACAAAGCTGGTAACTCCCTCCAGGGGTCAAAATCAAATCCCCAGGGTCTCTGAGCCCCCTGACGGGGTCCTGGGTAACTCTGGACACCCAGAGGGATGCACTGAGTTCTGACACTTGGTGCCACCCCCTGTGACACTGGTGTCACCCTGGGCACTGCCACCCCAGCCTGGCACTGCCATGGGGCTCTGCCTCCCAGCTCCAAAGAAAGCCTTTGAACAGCATCCACCACCCCTTCCACGCCACCATTCCCAAAAAAACCCCACGGAATTCCCACCCAAATAAAATAAAACAATAAAAATAAAATAAAACCCATTTTATAGAATAAAAACCATTTAATGGAGAATAACATTCCCAAAATTCTATAGGAATAAAACCCATTTGATAGAGAGTAACATTCCCAAAATTTTATAGGAATAAAAATTACTTAATGGAGAGTAACATTCCCAAAATTCTATAGGAATAAAAACCTTTTAATAGAGAGTAACATTCCCAAAATTTTATAGGATAAAAACGGTTTAATAGAGAGTAACATTCCCAAAATTTTATAGGAATAAAAAGCATTTAATAGTGAGTAACATTCCCAAAAACCCCACAGAATTCCTACCCAGGGCAGGTGGAAAGAGCCCAGGACCCAACTGCTCTGATGGAAGCCCCACTGGAGTTTTCCAGAACAGTAAATGAGAATAAACCCAGGGGCTGTGAGGGCAGGCTCTGCTTATCCTCCAGCCTGAAGTTCACCTAATTCAATTAGCCTGAGCAGCGAATAGAGCCCGTTTGAATTCACATCCAGGGGCTGCTGTGGTTTGATCCTCTCATTTCAGGAGCAGGGGGGGCTGAGGGAATCCTGCCCGGAATCTCTGCAGGGCCCAGGTTTGCTCTGGTGCTCAGAGCCCACCTCCAAGTGATGCTTGGGATGAGGTGGGAGCTTCCCAGAGCACCTGGGAGGGTGCAGGGATTTTAAACTGCGTCATTATTGGGTGGAAAATAAAGCCTTGGAAGGCACCAGGAGGGAATAAGTGGTGGAGTTTATTTAAAGAGGAAAAGCTGCACTTGGGAGCGACGCTGGGGCCATGTGTCTGCAGGGCTGTGCTCGTTCCTCCCCAGATTATTTTAAATTCGAGCATCTTTTCTGCATCACAGTCTATCTTTGTTCCCCTCTGACGTCTCGGGGTTTTATGGCCGGGGCTGTCGCTGCCAGCTCTGCTGGAAATCAACTTCCCGGCTTTGAACCCAATCCTGCAGCATCCCGCCCAAAGCCGGGCTCCAAATCACTTAATCTCGGATTAATCCAC